ACCCTTATGCACCCTGCTTAATGCAGCAGATAGGGTACCGTTGATTATCCTCTGCGGTGGCTAGATCATCAAGAAACTGTTTGAGGAAGATACAAAGAAAGCAATTAGTCAAAATCGGTAACTATACATCTGAAGCCACCACAATCTCTAGTGGAGTGACTCAAGGTAGCGTGCTGGGCCCGCTTTTATTCTTAATCTATTTCAACGATCTCGTTGATGACATCAAGTACGGGAAGCCATTCCTTTTCGCTCATGATGTTAAACTTGTGTAGTTTTCCGCCCCTGAGCAATGCAGTCCTAATTTAGCCTGTATTCAGTTTTACTTGTCCGCACTGGTGCACTGGAATTACTCCAGGAAGTTGCACTTTGCCATTGACATGAGTAATCAATTGTACCACAGCTGTGCCCCTTCTCTGAACATACATTAAACGATACCCCTATTCCTGTGTGTGGCGCAGTCCGAGATCATGGTCTAAGATATTCTGCCTCATTTAATTTTTTTAGAGCATATGTTCTTGCAGGCTTCTGCCAGAATATTGATGGCCAACATAAATCGAATTCTTATCTTGATGGATTCCAGGCTTCAAGCCCTTAAAATATGTGTTAAGCAGAAGCTTGTGTACTGTACGATAGTGCAAAGTAATCAGAGAAAAGTGGACATCATAACACTAGAAAACATTCAACGACTATTCACAAAGGGGTTTTTGAACATGCCTAATACTATGATATACCGTGAGCGTTGCGAGGCGCTAAATCTAGAGCCGTTACGGCTACGCAGATGCAAACTTAATATGTGCCTTTTATACCGCTTACTATTCGGATTAAGCTTCACTGCTCAGCCACAACTCGAATTTCAGACTCTTATGCGCTGTGAACTAAGAAACAGCGACCGCACATTGCAAATACAAAAGTATCGCACAAATCTCCGCTCAAAATTTTTCTCCGTAAAATATGCGTTAATATGGAACAAACTTCCATCGAGTATTATAAATTGCACTACCTATCCTTAATTCAGGTGCATTATTAATATTCACCTGACTGTTGCAAATATCTGGCCAATACTAAACCAAACGGTGACTCTAGGTGATTTGTATGAGAATGGTCCTGGATACATTTAAAAGTCACCATATCCTCTAATCGTTTCAATATTATAAGAATACCTACATATAGTTATATCCTTTGGTATGTATTAATAAACGATCTTACTCCTATCACTCCGTCTAACCAATTCTGTTTTCTCCTTTGACGCACTGGTTCGTTGATGCACTACGCCTTCCAAGCTGATGTCTCTGTATCACCGTCGTCACTCGCCAAGATTTTCCATCAAATTGTGATTGGCCTATCGGCAAGCGTTTGTATTCATTATTCTGTTTTTTAATTCTTCATATTTTATCTTCTTTGTTTCATTGTTGGCCATGACTAGGCTGATCTCTTGTGGTGATGGATTACAGCTTCCAAAATAAAAAAGTGTACCCACGCAAATCATATTGCTACTGACTCGCTGGCTTAGAACAAAAAAGTGCCACACTTGATTGATCCCCATGACAGAACGGGTTGAGGCTTCATCGCCCATAATGTATGCATAAAACAACCCTTAAAAACATTTGATACCCAGTCTGATGGCCTATTTACTATTTTGCCACACCGGCACAGAGCCAACTGGAGCACGTAAATGAGGGAGAAACCCATCGTGGGAATACCCTGCGTGGAAGCAAGTCCCTTGGGGACAGTTCCATGGATGGCCGTATTACTTAACTTGAACTTTCCGCAAAAGCTACATTTATTATTGTTCCCAAATTCTTTATCTCTCTACTTTTTCCAAACTGCTAATCAATTCAAAAACCCATTTGGGAACCATTGATCAAAAGACGTAAAATTAACTATGTTATGCGATCAAGTTGTACAAGTTGATTAGACCACTCATTTCGTCAGTGCCTCGTACTGTCGAGGAATAAAACGTTTGTTACCGACTTCATCAAAACTGTGGATATGCAGGGCTATCAACTTCTTCAACACAGCTTCCTCAGTGAAAATGATGTACGAAGCCGACAGTGGAACACTAGAAAAAAAGAGGTTTGTGCTTGTGACCTACTAGAAAGTTTGAGAGTAATGAAGTCGTTGGAGATCGACTGTTTCCATTGCTGACATCGTACATCCATCAACCGTGACCGATGCTAGAATTTCGCGCTTCACTTTACAAAGGCCATTAACGTGCCTGTACAGAAGTTTTCGGTTTGTGCAGAATCGTTTCATTAACTCCTACTGATGCGTAACCTCGTCCATTTGGAGCACTTTCACATAAGAGTTACGATGTGCCACGTACACAGTCTAGGGTTCCGCATCCGGGCAGTTCTTGTGAGCCCGTCATGCCAAATCCGTCATGGACATCATCATTATCATTACACGTTAGCTGGAGGTGGAAAACACCTCAGCTATTGTGCCGCAATACAAAAGACAAGGAAAACAAACGGTGGCACGCCCACTGAGTCCCCAGTAACGAATGGACATCGTTCCGGAGAGCTAACAGCTGGCTGACGTAAAAGAGCGTCATATTATGCCTAACAAGTGAGATCGTGATTGGAGGGGGATGCTAAGCAGGACGGGGATGGACAAAGGAACTCACAACACAAACGCCATTGGGGCCGGCTCCAAGCCATATCAGCGAGTGTGTCCAACCAAACATGTCCACCGTCCTTAGGACCCCAGCCAAGCAGTCGGGATGCACCAACCGACTCCAAATTCGAAGTGATGGTTTTCATTTCTCTCGACAAAGTCATCACTTGGCCGCCCCTCCTACTTTTCCAACCACACCCACAACGCACAAACAATACACATCGCGGGAGTCGGTGTGCTGGCATGCGCAACGCGTGGCCCAGCCATCGGAGCCTGGTGCGTGATATAATGGTGCTGAGCGGTTCACTCGCTCTTCCTGCACCAAATACGCGACGTCGAACACGCTCATTGCTCACGCGGCGCTCCCACCAGACATGAGCTAAGCTGCGAGGGCAGCGATTATCGAATATGACGAGTCGCTTTATGTCTGTCGACCTGATGGGCCAGGTTTCACAGCCATATAGGAGAGTTGAACAGGCGGCTTGATTGTAAACTCTGCCCTTCAGGGCGAGAGTGATGTCGCGTCTGCGCCACAGGTGGCGGAGATTGGCAAAATCACCTCGAGCTTTTGCTATACGGTTCGTAACCTCCTCTTCAATCCCACGGGTGCTAATATAGTTGCCCAGGTACTTGAATTCCTGAACGACTTCTAGCAGATCACCACCAAGCGTTAGCGCAGGGTTGGGTCCCTGTCAATCTTGGAGAAGTACTTTGCATTTCGATGGAGCAAAGCATAGCCCAAAACGATTGCCAGCCAATGCTAATCGGTCCAATGCTCTTTGGCATGTTTGGGAGCTGTCACAGATTAGGGCAATATCGTCCACATACTCTAAGTCAAGAAGTTGCTCACCAGGAAGTAGCTCCACACCTTCTAGATCGTGTCCATCGAACGCTGTTTCTATGACTTCATCAATAGCAAAGTTGAAGATGAAAGGCCACAGCGGGCATTCTTGTCTCACACCACTAGTGATACTGAAGGGTGGCGACAGTTTGCCATAAACCCTCACCCTTCCCGAGCTATGCGCGTACAGCGCTTTGATAATGTTTACATATTTATCAGGCACACCTTTCTTCAGCAGATAGTCCCAAAGGGCACATCGATCGACTGGGTCGAACGCACCTTTTATGTCAAGAAACACGACAATGGTGGGTCGTCAATAAACATGGCGGTGCTCCAACACTTGACGCAGAGTGAAGATGTGGTCTATGCAGCCCCGACCTCGACGAAATCCGGCTTGCTCTTCACGAATCTGGTTTTCACGAGTGGCAGTCAGTCTGTGCCCTCATGGACATACATTTAAATGTTCTGCTCCTCAGAAATGACGCATTTCCTTTGACAACGGAAGGACTTTTGTTCCGATACGTGCTGTACAGGTGTGGAGGAGTTGTTCAACGCAACGTGGTTTAGTTTGAATTCCATTTCCGACATAGTGTTTGGTTGGTGGTAAATTACGACTAGTAGACATGGGTTCTTGTTTCGCAACCATAGCTGGCACCATGGTGAATCAGTGGCGCGGATTTCTGGGTGATCGATAAATCCACATTGGAGATTTGCCTTATAATCAAAAACCACATTATCAACCCTCCCAGTTCTATTGTTTCAAAGCACCGACATAACGGGTGTATTGATCTCAGAATTGATTATCGCAAGGTTTAACCAATTCTCTGTAATCAAGTCTAGGTCACACGGTTGGGAGCCATGGAATTCTCTAAGTTCAGGCAAATTACTAAGAAGGTCTTAGGCGTTTGCGTACAAACACAAAAGTACTTTTGTTGTTAGGAGTGCGTTGATGCATGATAAAATTTCGTTCGTTTTTAAGCCCATCGTTAGGAGGCCGGTCTTAAACTTATTTAGTTTATGAAATTTGTCAATTTGCATGGCACCGTAGAGCGTTGCTGAACCGAAGTTTCACTCGTGCTGCGCCCAATCTTCTTGCGTCGATCTCTCCGCAGCACTGTGCGGACAATGAGTTTACGGAGGTTGAAAGTTCCATCGAATTGCTCAGCACTCGTGGCCGTGCGGCTACTGTCTTTAGACGCATCTTGGTTGGCAACCTGGCTCCAAACTTTGACCATTAATTCAGCAGAACTTGCGTTGTAAAGGAAACTGACAACCGGAATATCAGTCGGGTGGAGCCAAGCACAGTACTCTGGACCATATTGCAATACGCATTATACATCTGCCCGTCGCAGAAGATGCATTGTTCGGCCTTTGAGGGGAAAGTAACACCTTTACTGCCGCGTAATCAGTAAGCGACCATAGTTGGATGTGGAGCGATGTCAAGCATGTGAAAAGGCGGTCCTTCAGGGACAAAACGCATATTCTGCAAACAACAGGACCAGGCGAAAACGGAGACAGAGGGCGAGTGAAACATATCGGTATATACAGCTGGTTGGATCCATAATTAACGACCTTTGTTGATGCATGACATTTTTCCTTTGATTCAGTCAAACAAACTCACTCCAATGCGTCCACTGTTGGCCAATCAGCGTGCATGCGAGAAACGTCTGAACGTCCAATCGGTTGCCGCCTTTGCTTGCGGCAGCCTAACGGCTTCCTTGCTGGGCTGGCACCGCACGTTCGTTCGAGTGTATACTCCCATCACATCCTCCCTTTTTTCATGTTCTTGCTGCTGTACTTTGCTAAATAGTCCATACACTTTACCACTCCGCGTCCTCTTTGTTGGATCTGCCGATGTCGCCTCATTGCCGCACGCAGTATAACGCTCTCTCCCTGATTCATGCTGTCGCCTCGGACATCTCCTCAGCTGTACTCGGTTTCTTCTCAGCTTCTTCCCTCTAACATTTACTTCGTATGACCTTTCACCGACTTTCGCAGCCACGACTCCTTTTCTCCACCGCTCCTGTCCATCGGGAATTGGTTCAACCCATACTTTTCCCCCCACTGTCAGCTCAGGTAATTCCCGTGCGCCGTTGTCGTAGTACCGTTTCTGAGTAGCCATTCGCCTTTTCAAATTGTTCTGTACTTTCACAAATTGTGGCGTGACAGAGCGCAGAAGTGTTGAGGATGCAGGCATCACAGTTCTGGTCCTTCGACTGTATAGGCGCTGCACTGGGCTCAGGCCGATATCCGTTGAAGGAGTGTTGCGACTCTCCAGTAGCATGAGGAACGGGTCCTCCCGAGTATCTCTAGCCTTCGCTAATAGTCGCTTGGCTTGCTTCACTGCCGACTCTGCCTTCCCATTTGATTGACTGTGATAGGGACTGGTTTGCCGGTGTGCGAATTCCCATTTGGTTGCGAAAACCTGGAATGCCATGCTGCTGAACTGGGGACCGTTGTCCGAGACTAGCTCCTCCGGTATCCCGTGCCGTGCGAATTGACATCTGAGTTTGTTGATTACTGCCTCCGTGGTCGTGATGGTGAGTAAATCCATTTCAAAGTAATCACTATAGTAGTCCACCGTGAGTAAGTAATCCTTTCCGTTGTCCCAGAATAGATCCACTGCTACCTTTTGCCACGGTCGGTCCGGAACATCATGCAGCATCATCGGTTCCTTCGTTTGCCAAATGTCGTGTGAACGGCACGCCTCACAGTTAGACACATGATGCTTGATCTGACCTGTCATTCCTGGCCAGAACATCAGTTTTCTTGCTCGATTAATAGTGTAATTTGCACCTAGGTGATCGCGATGGACATGCTCCAGCATCTCCTTTCGGAGAGAAGAAGGAATTAGGATTCGACTTCCCTTGAACAACAGACCATCACAGACAGTGTGTTCGTCCCGAAAATTGAAGTTGGATGTTAATTCTTTCGGGAGCTGCTTCTTTGTTTCTGGCCACCCATTGTGGATAACGTCTCGCAAAGCTGCAAAAGTTTGGTCTTCCTCCGTGAAACGCCTTATGTCTTACAAACGGTTTTCTGTCACTGCCAGATGCTGCACCATGTTAACTGTCTCGATGTCTTCTAGATGATGTTCGGCCACTGGCGGATGTGCTCTCGACAGGGTGTCCGCGATGAACATCTGTGTGCCAGGTGTGTACACAATGCCAATGTCATACTTTTGGAACCGGATAAGCATACGCTGCAGACGACGAGGAACGTTAATCAGTGGTTTAGTGGCTATCGACACCAGCGGCTTATGATCAGTGTACACGGTTGTCTTTCTTCCAAAAGTGTGATCATTGAAACGCTCCATGGCATAGACCACTGCCAGCATCTCTTTCTCGATCTGTGCGTACCGCTTCTCGGTCTTTGTGAGCGCTCGACTGCGGAAATCCAAAGGTCTTCCGTTCTGCAACAGAACAGCACCTATCCCACTCTGGCTACTATCACACTGTACCTCCAATGGTAGTGCTGGATCGTAATATCCGAGTACGGGCGCATTACTGATAAGGTTCTTAATGGTTTCGAAAGCCAAATCCTGTTCCTTCCCCCAGCTGCAATTTACTTCTTTGTGAGTTAACTGCCTAATCGGAGTCATGACATCAGCGAGTCCTGGTAGGAACCGGCTTAACTAGTTCACCATACCGTTTAGGCGATGGACTGCCTTCGCATCGTTAGGGGACGGCATCTCTTGTATCGCATTAACTTTCCTTGGGTCAACTCTGATTCCGTCGGATGTTAACACATGCGCATGGAAAATTACCTCCTCTTTCCGCAGCTCTACTTTCTCGCGTTTTAGCTTGATGTTCTTTTGCACACAACGCCTCAGGAACCGGTGTAGCTTAGTGTCATGCTCTTCTTCGGTAGAACCGTAAATCAGAACGTCCTCTGCCACACAGGTTACGCCATCTAAATCATCTATTGCTTACACCAAACGCTTTTGGAAAATTTCGCTAGACACCTTCAGGCCAAAGGGTAATCGCAGCCAACGATAACGTCCGAACGGTGTAGCAAATGTGGTGAGGAAACTGGATTCGTCGTCTAGAACAACGTGCCAGAATGCGGAAAAAAGGTCTACTTTCGTGAAAAACTTAGCTTTTGTCGAACGTGGTAAAACATCTTCTAACGTCGGTAGCGCATAATGTTCTCTACGCAGGGCCTCATTCAGTGGCTTCGGGTCTATACATACGCGTAGTTCGCCATTTTTCTTCGTAAAGATTGCGACCTGGCTAACCTAGTCTGTTGGCTCATCAACCTTTGCAATCACCCCCTGCATAACCAGCTTGCTCAATTCCGCGGAAAATCGATCACGTAGCGCTAATGGGACTCTCCTAGCAGGTAACGCAATCGGGCGTGCCAAAGGATCTAACGACAGGTGAGCGGTACCCTCGAATTCCCTTAAACTAGGGCTAAACACCGACGGATACAGGTCACTAACATCGGCTTCACTCTGACAAGCGTACACAAAACGATCATGGTTAAAAATGACAAAGCCAAGAGATAAAATCGAATCAATGCCGAGAATCGGCGTGAAATCCTCATCCACGATCACGAACTGCAGACGATGCGAAACACCGTCTCTCGGATTGACCACTTCAATTGTCGCTGAGCCCTTTGGCTTGAGTCTGGAACCATTCCACATTGGCAAATAATCTTGATCCGATTGAATTTGCACGCCGCGGCAGTGCTTTCTGAGCAAAATATTGATCGTCGCGCCTGTGTCTAACTGGAATCGCACAGACCGTCCCTCGATCAGAAGACTTGCATAGACACACTTCTGCGACGCTTTCCGAGACACGTAATCAATCGATTGTTCGGTGTCTTCTTTTGATTTGTCTGGAACGAATGCACTGACATCTGTCGACTGACAGCAGCGGGCGAAGTGATTGCGCTTCCCACATTTGACACAAATGCGGCCCCACGCCGGACACTGTTCGCGGTTCCTCGGATGTCGTGTTGCACAGAAGTTGCAGGGCTCCTGTCGCGCGGTCGTGGCCCTCGTAGTTTTGCTCCTGGAAACGGCGCACAAGTCTGAATCACCTGCGATTGTCATCTACTGGAACTGATAGGCAGTGGAGGACTCACTGTTACAGGTGTTGATACATTGCTGCAGAGATAGGTTGCGCTTTCTTAATAGTCGCTTCGTCAAACCTACGTCATTGATCGCAAGAACAATGCGGTCCCGTATGAGACTGTCCACCATGCATTTACAGAAACTGCAGGATCGGGCCAAAACCTTTAGCTCAGTGACGTACGTGTCAACGGATTCACCTGGCCGCCTATTCCGCGAAAAGAAGAGGTAGCGTTGAAATGTCTCGTTTGTTTGGCCTTCGCAGTATTCACTGAACTTCTCAAAAACTGTCACCAGTTTGTTGGCATCTTCGCTCTTGTCGTAACACAATGTCTCTAGCACGCGGCGCGCATCATCTCCTCCTGCGTGTCGAAACATGGCCAAGCGGTACGCCAGCGGTTGGTTGTCCAGACGCGATAAAGTGCAGAAATCCATCCATTCGCTTTTCCACAAACGCCAGTTGCTTGTCAAACTGCGTTCATCCATGTTCAGCCGGGCAGGCATTTGAATAGCCGGTGCAGCTCCAATCATCGTCTGGGTGGTACTAATGTTCTTCTCCTTCTCTGACACCATGTGAAAAGTCGGTCCTTCAGGGACAAAACGTATATTCTGCAAACAACAGGACCAGGCGAAAACGGAGACAGAGGGTGAGTGAAACATATCGGTATATACAGCTGGTTGGATCCATAATTAACGACCTTTGTTGATGCATGACATTTTTCCTTTGATTCAGTCAAACAAACTCACTCCAATGCGTCCACTGTTGGCCAATCAGCGTGCATGCGAGAAACGTCTGAACGTCCAATCGGTTGCCGCCTTTGCTTGCGGCAGCCTAACGGCTTCCTTGCTGGGCTGGCACCGCACGTTCGTTCGAGTGTATACTCCCATCACAAAGGATAAACCAAGATCTATTAAAAGCAAGAAAACTTGAGAAACTGCAGGTCCGTATGCGTATTTCTATTGAAATATCTACACACAGCAGTCCGACGATTACAAAGCAAGTAAGCGGCCTTTAGAGAACGAATACCTATTCGTCCATCACATAGTCTCGGAAAAGGTTTGCTTGTATCCTTTTGTAAACCATTAAGTCTTGGATGCCTGAACCGGAATGCCTCTGTTCACCTTATCCATGGACCATTGATGACCTTGGTAGTAATCCCTGTGAATCTTTTACTTGACATTTGTTGAGCAAATGCCGACAAACAACTTTCAGACCACCTTCGTTGGTCTACATTTCTTACCAATCCTGAGAAACAAGTGCACAAGTTGTCGATCATGCAATTGAGCCAGCTGCAGCTAGAAACATTGTCGCTTGAGCCAACTTTCTGCATTTCCAAGCCAAAAGCCAGGTAAATTCATATGGAGACTCATATTGAAAGTGCATGCACAAACTAGTGAGACTACCGCTTTCAGCGTGTTGTGTGCTACTCGGATACTAGTCGCAGGGGATGACACGGGAATACGGCAAAAATAATCGCGGCTGAACCCAGCATGTTTTGATAGGAGCTACAAGTAATGTTGAGCAGGTAAATAAGAACGGAGAACAGCGTAGGATCGCGGATCATCGGTGAAGGAAAATTGGACGGGATGTATAATCAGTTGAATTAATGGATGATCTAGTTTCGCTAACTCCTGAAAGCAACAATTTTACTCTCAATAAAAACCCATTGCAATTGAAACATTGGCCAATTGTATCGGTCAATAGGGCTTGATATACCCTTCTGTCGTGTCAACTGCATTGCCCTCTCGCGAGCTGCGCCGCAGCCAGTAAACAAGAGTACAACTCACACCAGCAGTCCTCTGAACGTGTGGCG